GGAGTCAACATGATCTCTCTGTCTGTTGCACCAGTCTGCGACTCCCGAAAAATGAATTCTCGCCAGTTTAGTTTGGTAAAATAGTTTTACGACCCTCACATTTGCATACGGTAATAATATAATAATAAATAAATAAGGTCATCATATGAGCGCTCACGTCTTCAGTGTGCGACGAACAAGAGGCAAACTGCTACACCACAGACGCTGGGTACACGTGTCCCCAAGCAGATGACGAAAGTGTGGTTAACCAAGCACCTCTAAAGACTCATGAGGGGGGTCCTCAGTTTTTGGGGGATTTTTGTTTGGTAAGTGTTTTACGGCACTTGCAACACAACAAGGTCATATAAGTGCCGAAGATTAGAGGTGTTACAAGAGAGTAACAAACACAAAAAAAAGAAGGGGAGATAATGACGCTAGATGTTTGAAAGGACAGAAGAAGCAAACCGCATCTTAGCACCCACCAACCACCCACCTCAGTGGTTGTGTGGTTGGTGAGATCAAACTCAAAATAATGTCTAGAATAGTAATAATACATGTATATCAGTCATACCGCGTTTAGGTGGGTAGTCGCTGCGTGTGTTATCTTGAACTTGGACAAAACATGATAACTGGCTCCAAAAATAAAGTTTTGGTCAGCGGTGACGGAACAATAGCATTAATAGCATGTTGATTGAATTGGTGCGGTATTGTATATTTTGTATTGTTGATAAATTATTGTGTGCGCGCGCGCTATTCTACAGAGAATATATATATATATCAAAATGGAAAGTCATTTTTATTTATATTTTAAAAATAAAACATTTTCCATTCTCAGTACAGCCTACTCAAAGTGAGCAGAAAGAGGTGACCAGCAGGAAGAAGTCTAGACAGTAGTACTGTACAATATACGCACTATGTGCAGGAATGGCAAAAAAAATTAATTAAATTTTAGGGAATTTTTTATAGTAAGAGTTTTACGGCACTTGCAACACAATAAGTCATATATGTGCCGAAGACTAGGTGTTACAAGAGAGTAACAAACATAAAAAAGAAGGAAGAGAGATTATAAAGACGATAGTTGGTTGATAGGAAAGAAGGAGTAAACCACATCCAAAACACCTGTCAATCACCCACATTAATTATTAATTAAATCTAATGAATAAAGTGGACACAAATATGTCAAATCTGTTGCACACCAAATGCACTGTTGCAGCAAATTTTGAACCATCAAACACAAATCAGAAAGAGGAATTCAAATAAACCATAGCATACACAATGGAGTCTGCCCATATCCGTTTCAGATGAAGAAAACAGAATTGAAAAATCAGTAGATATTAATTAACAAAATTATGCTTTTCGTTTTTTAACATGCCAAAAAACAGAGTGTCTTCAAGTATTGTCAAATGACCAGAATACAGGTCTTCAATGAGATAATAATCTGAGATATAAGGTATACTTCCAAATCCATTCACTTATTTAATATTTGTCATTGCATTTTTCATAAACCAAAACAACGCTTTTTAGTTAGTTTTAGTTTTAGTAGAGGTTTTACGGCGCTCGCAACTGCATAGGGTCATATGAGTGCCAGAAGATTAGAGGTGTTAAAAGAGAGTAACAAACA